TATCTAAAATGTTTATTTTGATGCATAAAAACATTTTATGATTTTGTAAAATAATTTTGACTTTTTGAGAACCGAGACTTGAATAAATCGTCGGTTTTGATCACAAAAGACCGACTCGACTAAGTCTTCAATTCTTGATCTTGTCCTTGAGTCTTTTAGGTCTTGTTCCAAGCCATTCTTCACGCCTTGAGTTATTCAATGAAACTCTTCATATCCACGGCGGTTTGGCAATTATCAAAACCTGTCAGAAATAAACACGACTTTAGTTTAACGTGCAAAGTGTGTTCCAACAATTTCCCCCTTTTTGATAATGGCAAACAAGACGGGGATATGCATAGGGTTTTGATCTTTTTGAAACAAAAAAAAAATTCCCCCTTAATAAAATTCCCCCTGAAAATATGCATAGCCCTTATCTTCCCCCTTTTGTCATTAACAAAAAGATTGTAAACAACAAAAATCATAAAGATTTTTATTAATTGATTAAGGGAAAAGGCGGAGTGCATAGCGAAAGCATTAAAAATTATAAAGTAAGGAAGAGAAGAAAGTAGAGCTAGAGCTCTAGAAATCCGGGGAAAGATCATTGAGAAGTTGTTCTTCGTCAATGTCTTCTTCTTCTTCTTCTTCATCGCCATCATCATCATCATCATCATCATCATCATCATCATCATCCACCTCGTCTTCTCTTCCAACGTTTTGAGTCCCACTTTGTTCACCTCCGAAATTCAGTGGAGGAACGTAAGGGACCATTTGAGCGTACGGGTAGTTGACAAAGTCAAAATACCCATGAAGTTCACGGCTCAAGGTATTGACGTTGTGCGCCGTTTTGGAGACGGTGGTGTCGATCCGAGAGAGAGTGGCGGTTAAGGCTGCCATTTGCTCGGCTAGAGAAGGATTGGTTGATGTGGAGGTGGCTGAGGCAGTGGTTCTCGGTTGTCGGCGTGGACGAGGCTGTCGAAACGGAGTCTCGTCGGTGCCCGAGTGGAAAGAAGACTCATCAATCTCCCAATGCTTCGTCCCCTTTACCTCTGGCCCAACATCAGTTTTGATGTTGTATTCTTCAAGAATAGCCATGACAAAGAGGGCGTAGGGGAGCGGCCGATTGTCAGAGGTGGCCGTGAACATGTGAGTCATCACAAATTTACACCAATTGAGATTGGCGTTGTGAATCATCGCATGGATCGTCTTCGTGTCTTCTTGGGAGAGATTGGTGTGGTTGAACTTCCTTGGCTTGAGGATCCGTGTCAACACATAGAATATGAAGCGGTACACGGGACTCATGGAAGAAATCGTAGGGCGCCGCTGTTGGGGAGTGGGTACGAAGTGACGGATGCCCACTTCCTCCAAGAGAGCGGTCTCATTGAACCGCGCCCCCTCTTCTCCGGTGTAGAGCCCGAGATCCTGTCCGTCCCGACGAAGCCCGGTGAGGATTTGAATGTTCTCTTCATTCAAATAAATGTCCACCCCGTTGACGTTTGAAATCAACGATCCGTCCTCATCCTTTTTCAAGTTCGAATAAAAAGCTCGAACAAGAAAAGGTTGATAATTAACCTTCTTGATGTAGAGGAGATCGAGGAAGTTACCACGTTCAAGGATAACCCGTGCTTCACGTGGAATGGAGTCATGAATGAAATGGGCGGTGGAGAAACGGGGAGGGAGAATTTCCCGATGCTCAAACTTCTCCGAGAACCTTGTAGCCTCTTCGCGGTCGTTGAACCAAAGAAACGACCCGTCAAGGTA